AAAAGGTGTGTGATATTTCTGTGTACACGTAGCCCCGTGTCACCACCCGGTCCCCAGAAGAAAACCCACCTCGTACAAGTGAGCACAGACGCCCACCCGAGGCTTGGTCCTGGCAGAAGCTGCTTTTCAGAGAGAGCTGCCCGGTGTCAGCTGAGGCTGGTGGCCCCTAGGCCTGCCAGATGGCGGGGTCACCTGGTCCTTCTTGGTTTCTTTAAATGGAAAGTGAGTCAGGTGTAGCTGGACCCCCCAAAACCGAACACATGTCCAGGTGTCAGCGGCAGGGCTGTGCCGACGGGTGGCTTTGCTTCCGGGGAGCAAAGTGTGGGTGAGCCTGCAGGGCTGCACGTGGGGTGCCTCGCTGAGCCCCTGGTCCCCCCAGCTGTCCCAGGCGGGCCGTGAGGGAGCGTGTGGGCCTGTGTCGTGCTCAGGCCTGACCACCCAGCTCTGTCCCTTTTCGGGCTGCGTGTGCGTGTGTGTGTGTGTGCGCGCGTGTGTGTGTCGGGGGGCTTTGGATGGGCTGCATATGGGTCTCGGTGGCCCGGGAAGCACCTCTGCAGCCGGGGCGGCACGCTCACCTCGGTGGACGCGCAGCTGCGGGAAGGGTGCGTGCTTTTCCCCCATCGAGGTCGGGAGGAGTTAACCTCACGGGGCAGACAGCCGTGTTTGGGCTGCTGGAACCAGTCACCCCTGAAAGCATTTTGGCCGGTGTGCTGGCTACGTGGGGGGGGAGCACCTAGGATACCAATCGGGGAAGGCGTCCCGGGACACCGTGGCAGGCAGGCCGGCCGTGTGGTGACAGCTGGCCTGCGGGTCCGTCTCACGCGGGCTGGGCGGCCGGCCGCTCGTCTCGCAGGTTTTCATGCCCACGGAGGTCGGAGCTCTGGTCTGCAGCCGGCCTGAGCCAGGGCCGCTGTTTCCTGCCCGAGACCTGGGCCGAGGGGAACCGTCAGGTCGGGAGTCACGGCATTCAGCAAACCTCGGTTCTTTCTCTGTGGAGTTGTTGCCGTTCGATCTTTTCCTCACACGCTCGCCTCTTCCTGGCTTCTGTCACGTGGCTGCAAAACACCCACAGACCGTGTCGCCGGGGAGGGTCTGGGAACATACCGGGTGTTAGAATGGGGTGTGTTTCACAGAGTGTGTGTCTCAGGCGTACCAGCAGAGCTGCTGAGTGTCAGAAGACCAGGCCGTCTGCAGGGGACTGGGGTGTCCTCTTATTGTCACGGTCGGTAGGGCCTCGCCTTGTGGCTTTTTCGCCGGGGACTCACTTTCGGCCGTGGGCTGGCCGCTGTCCTCAGCCACGGACGCGTGTGGCCTGGGCAGGGTGGGGACATCTGCCCGTTTATCCAGGAAGTGGCCGGTGTCCCTGCAACGCCGAGTTCTGAGCACACGGCCGCCCCTCCACCCCCGTGAAGATGGGAGGAAGACCCCGGCTTTCGCTGCTCCCACCCTGAGCTGCCGGCGGTGTACCCTTCCTTCTCCAAGGACCAGGGCTCCCCGACGCCTTGTGCTCAGCGGGGACGCAGGGCACGCTCTAGGCCGATGACAAGGACAAACGTTTTTGAGACACTTTGCTCCCTGTTTGCTCCGAGTGTGGGAGGCTGGGGCCGGGGGATGACTTGAGTTTTCAGTTGACAAGTTTCCACATGTAACAAGAAAGAGAAGAAAAAACAAACACACAGAAAAACTGGTGCCTAATTTATTAAAAATTAACTTAGGATTCTGCTGGGTTTTTCTTTCTTTTTCCAATACCCGTGTGAAGTGGATGCAATGTATAAATGTTTTACGGGAATTTGATATTTAATGAGACACCGGTTCAGGAATGTCGCGAGTGTCCTGTGTCCAAGCTTCCTAAAGGCGCTATTTATTGAAAGGCGATGGTTTTGTAGAGCCGGCCCCCGCCCTGCGTGTCGCGGTCCCATCGGACGGGGGTGTGGGGGGGCGTGGGTCCCCGATTCTTGCTATTGGATGCACGTGGGTGTGTTATTTATTTTTATTTTGTTTTTTTTTGGGGGGGGCGTGGTTGGAAGTTCATAATATGTGCTATTTTAATTATGTTGAGTGTAAATTTGACACTGCCTTGCATTTATTTTTATATTTTTTAAGACTGTTGCTTTTCCTCCCCGCTCTCCCTTTCCTGCCCCCCGTTTATGGCCAGGCAGGATGATTTACGGCACACGGCGGCGTTTGGGTTTCGCACACAAGGTGCGCCTGCAGCTTGAGATGTTTTCAGGGATTGCCCAAACGAGACGGAATCGCACCACCTTCCCCCCCCACCCCCCAAAACCCAGGGTCTTACGATGCGTGCCCCTCTGCTGTTGTGGGGAGAAGCCAGCCCGAGGTGTTCCTGGCCACGCTGGCCATGCCCCCCCCCACCGTGTAGTTCTAGTTACAAAGTGTATTTTGTCAAACCATATAGTATGAATGTACACCTTGTAAAACGGAGATATAAATAAACTTATAAATATTTGTATTCAAGTGTTAAAAAAAATTCTCACCTCTCCCCTCCGACTGCTCCCCCGGGGGGTGGGGGGAGGTCCGATTGGAAAAATCGCCAGTCAGCCGCCGGCTGAAAATAGCGTTTTGTGCGGGAGCCCACAGCGCCGTGTGTGGGCGCGATTCCCGGGGGCGCCCCGTGTCCCCTCCCCGGGGCCCAGGCCTCCTTTACTCTGGCCGCTCCCGGGACCGTCCCCTCACTGAACTGTCCCCGCCCGCGTTTCGCCCGTGAGCCCGTGTCCTCCCAGAAGACAGGGGGACAGGGACACGCAAACACCCCCCTTTTCAATCAACTCAGAGTTTGGGGTGGGGGTGGGGGTTCACGCGGGACAAGCCCAACGGCTCCGGTTTCCAGTTTTTAATTTTAATTTTCTTTTTGTGTTTTTTTTTCCGGACCATGTATGGATTCTGCACAGTGGCGTTACGACCATGGCTGAGTCATTTTTGGGAAAAAAAAAAGGAGAAAAAAAGAAGAAGAAAGAAAAATTGAAAAAAAGTCCCACTTTAAAAACGGAAATGTTTCCTGCATTGGGTTTTTAACTGGCTGTGGCAAAAGGGCTTAAAGAACCGGGTTTAATCGTCCGGAGGCCCGCCCGCCCCCGTTAAAAACACCTGTGGGGAAAACGTTTGGGGGTGGGGGGGGTGGCCCCGGGACGGATGACGCCGCCAGAGGGACACTGGCCCTGCAGTGGGGGAGCTGGGGTCCTCTTCCGTCACGAGGGTGAGCCCGTGGCAGGTGGCACTGTCCCCGGGTGCCGGGCGCCAGCTGAGGCCCCCTGTGGGGCCTGCCGGCCTTGCTGGTGGTCACTCCTGAGACCTTCTCGGCCAGGACTGAGGACATTCTTTGCTGCTGAGGTCCAGCTGCAGATGTGCTTTCTTTGGGTGACTCGGTGCCACCCACCAGGTCCATGCCGGCGCCCCAAGCCTGCTCGTGTCCTGCAGGGCGATACGTGCCAGGTGTCGGCGAGGGGACCGGGGTCGCCGTGTGAACACAGCCCCGCCAGCCCTGGGCGGCCCCACAGCGGCCTCGGAGGGGTTTCTGGCCGTCACGGCCACGTCCCTCGCTGGCCTCCTGAGCGCACCGCACTTTGGGGACACACGCCGGCAACTCTGGTACGTGTGGTGTCCCTGTGTGGCCAACATGAACATGTAACCCGCGCGGTGACTGACTGTAAAGTTACCCTCAGTGTGTCGCTTCGTGCGTCAAGTCCAGTCACATCGCTCAACACTGTGTAACTGACACTCCCCGTCCCCAGGAAACAGCCACTTTGTCCCCAATCGCGGCCGATTCTTTTCGCATCAGCTCCGGCTGCTCTGCAGGGCGTGCCGGGCTGACTGGGGCCCGAAAACTAGGTCTGTCCGCCCCGAATTCCTTTCAGATTTTCACGTGGCTTCTGCTGCAAACCTCCCTCGGCCGAGAACACGCTGTTCCTGTTCCTTTTCAGTGATTTTTAACTTGCACACAGGGACGCGCCTCCCAGGACCGGCTCTCGAATCCGCAGACTGTCCGGGACGCGTGTCCGTCGGCCCCCTGCACACGTGCCCTGAGAACCCTGTTTTTCACATCCAGTGGTCAGAACACAGGGACCCGTGGGCAAACGCAGGACAGCAAACCCCCAAAACGTGGCCTTTTCAGCCTGCACGTTAGCACGCAGGGATTCTTAGTTTTTCCTTCAGCTGTCGGTGCCTCTCTGCATTTACCTAAAAGCTGGGAGGATTTGCTTGAATGTATAAAGGGGTTCCTTTTGAGTGTTGGGGGACAGCCCCCAGTCCGTCCTGCAGATGCACCGGGGTGGGATCTAGACACGATACACACGCTGTGACACCAGCTGCCCTGTCAGTGCCTCCTCAGTTTTCAGACACAAGGGTCATGGTGTGCCCAGCACCCCAAAAAGAGCCCATTCTCAGGGGTGCCTCTCCATGCTCCCTGTGAACCGACAACGCCAACGGCCAACTCCAGACGTCTTTGCAGACTTTCATAGAAACGGGGTTCAGAGAGAGTGGGGACCTGTCGCTCAGATGCCAGAGAGCGATGGAGGGGACACAGGGTAACTCTGCCCCGATCAGGCCACAGGCTCAGGTCACGCGCTTTCTGGCCGGTGGTGCAGGCGAGCGTCCGAGGCCCACGGTGGCGCACGGGTCCTGTAATTCTGGGAGCACACTGGTGTCCCCCTGGCCCCCCGTGGAGATGGGGCCTGCAGACCCAGCAGACGCCTCCGTCTCGGCCCAAAGTTTTAGGATCGGGGCTCGTCACCAGGAGCGGCAAGTGCCTTTGTGGGGCCCGGGTGCTGTGGGGGGCAGTCTACACCCCCCGAGACCAGAAGGGCCACCCGTCATCCGCCACGGGTGCCGATGCTTCCGGAAGGCGTGTGCTTGTTGCAAATTGACTTGAAAGCGTCGCCGTGCCGCGTTTTGTCATAACGGCTGACGGCATAGGAGCTGTACACAGATTCCGACAGCGCGGTGCTGTGACCCAAACACCCACAAATGTGCCCTTTCCCGGACGAGCTGTGATCCAGCCCCCGAAACGCAAAAGCGTGTGATGACGGTTGGAGAAAGCACAACATTCTCTCTCTCACACACACACACACACACACACACACGGGCGAGCCGCTTTCAGCCCCTGCTAATTGTGCTGTGTGTGCAGGACGTGAAATGGGGTGTGACCACATGTGCTCGGGCTGATTTATTTCACTAGCAAAGCTGGGCGGTGGAAATTCCTCGGGACGGCCGTCCGGGGTACCGACCACAGCAATTACCCGGCAAGTTTCCGCTTGCCCAGGTGGTCTCCTTTGCAGGTATCGGAGGGGGAACCCCAACGTCTGAAGGCGGAGACCACACGTGCAGATCAAAACGCGTTCGCTCGCCCAGGGAACGCGTGGGGCGGCCAGCCTGGCGCGGTGGGGCCGTCCGGGGCTGGAAGGGGTGGTGCGTGTTTCTGTCACGGACGTCCCGTCACGGTAGCCACGGCCAGAGAGGACTTTCCTGTAGTTGTGTGAGCGCTTCGGTGTTCTCTTTTTCTTTTTTGAATGATGCCGTTTGAGCGTGTGTGTGTGTGTGTGTTTGTGTGTGTGTGTGTGTGTGTGTGTGTGGCTGACCTACGAACACGGTTCCTGCATGCCACGTACATACTTACGACCGCCTCCGTCCGCTCGGCTCACGGCCACCCTCCCACGGCGGGAGGCAGAACTGGGCAGAAGCCTTTTACGGCCCCCCGACCCCCTCTGCCTGCCGACCTCCCAGGCGCCACGCGACAGGCGTGGAAAGCTCACGGCGCCCACTCCTCGCCCGCCTGCCCGCCCGCCCGGCGGCTGCAATGACTGGAATTTTCCTTGTGCAACGAGAAATTCAAAAGTCCCCGAGCATGCAGCTGGCTTGGGCGCGCGCGTGCATTCTTGTTCGACTGTTTCAGCGCATATTTGGCCGTGTGGGTCATTTCCTAGGGAACCGGCGGAAGGTGTGTTGTTCCTGCTGCCCCAAGGAGGGGAAAGCAAGGGTCTCAGAGAGGCGTCCGTCCGGGGCACAGGTCTCGGCACGTGGCAGGGGACCCCCTCGCCGCCTCGCCGCCGGGGGTACGACGGGCCTTGCGTGCCGGCCACCCCCCACCCCCGGCGTGTCCCCGTGGGCCCCCAGGGTGCGTGCCAAATAGTGATTGTTGGCGCTCATACACTGTACATGGCCAAGCATTTCCAGGTGCCCTTGACAAGTCCCGTCCGAGCCCGAACAGTAAGCCAGCAACCACGTAGGGATCTACCGTGAAGGCTCATAAAGCCACGGGCTGCCGGGCCGCTGCGCTCGGAGCTGACACGTCACCCTGGCCAGAGCCTGTACAAACGGCGCCAGCTGCAGCTCCGTGCGCGGCCAGCCACCGCGTGGCAAGCCCCGTCGTCTCTTCCGACACAGAAACCGGGGGAAGGCGTCTGACAGGATGTGGGGCTGGGGCTGACGTGCAGCCCAAACTGGTCCGCTTTCTCCTGGGTCGCTCGCTGGGGGGGTGTCCTGGGGCGGCCACAATTAATTACCAAAGGTCACGGGCTTAGAGCCACAGACATCCATCCTCCTTCGTCCTGGGGGCCAGGAGGCTGCCGCCAAACTGTCCCAGGGCCGCGCTCCCTCCGGAGGCCCCAGGGGACGGTCCCTCCTGCCCCGTCCAGCTCCTGGGGGCTCCAGGCGTCCCCGGGCGGGTGGTCGCCTCCCCCCGTCTCTGCCTCCGTCTCCACGTGGCGTCCCCTCTGTGTCTGTGTCCCTCCTCTTCTGTCCCTGATAAGGACACTGTCGTTGGGGTTCAGGGCCCCCCGACCCAGGACACCCTCCTCTCAGACCCCTCACTCAGTTCCATCTGCACAGACCCCGTTTGCAGACAAGGCCCCCCTTTAAAGGCCCCAGGCGTTCGGACTGAGGTGTGTTTGAGGATTCTCTCTCAGGTTTTCACAGCGACCTTGTTTCTTGGGGTGCCCCCCCACCCCCGTGCGGGCAGGCATGTGCCGATGACCCTGGGTCACCAAGCCTGCAGCTGTCGCCCTGGGCCTCGTCACCCTGACCTGGGCTGAGTGTCACAGAGGTTACACGGGGACAGGTGACAAGTGACATATTCCGGAGATGTTATGTCCCGACTCTAAGAAACGTGGGGGGTCAGGCTGGGAGCTGTCACCCCCGGGAAAGGGTGTGGGTGACAGGGAAACCCTCCTGCCCCACCCTGACAAAGAAATTAGCTGAGACTGTGATTTGCCCGCCAAGGAGAAGGGCCAGGCGGGGTCCCCAAGCGGTGACCTGATGGTGACAACACCTCGGCCCACAACGCACGTGGTCACTTTGTACTCCCCTGGGGAACGCTTTTCACAGACACGACGTGACGCGTCTCCGTCGGGGGCCAGCAGGGTCCCTCTCGTGTGTGCGGCTGCGACGGACAGGTTCCCAAACGCGTGACACGACGCACATTGCGTGTCTCTTGTCAACATCCAGGCGGACGGGTGCTGGCAGGCCGGGGCGACGCCTGACACCGGGGCGGCGGTGTCCACGTCCCCGCGTGGTGACACAAGGCTCGGGTCTGTCGGGGCCGGCAGGCAGAATCCATCTGTCCGCAGACTGCGCCCCAGGCCTCGCTGCCGGGCGTATCCCGTTTCTGGATATGGATGCGGAAACGTGAGAGGCGTTTCCTGCGATAGCTGAGTGGTTTTGGAGAGCCGGGCGCTGACGTGCTCTAATGACCCAATTAATTGTAGGGTCGGCCAGCAAGGGCCGCATCATCTTCGAAAAGCTTCTGACACTGATTTTTGTTGTTGTTGTTGTTTCTTTATCGCTCCGTAATGCACGTCCCCTAAAATGCGTCCTCTTGCAGTGTACAGCTCCGCGGGGTTTGCTCAAGTCACACTGTTTTTGCAACCGTCAGCGCGATTAAATTCCGGAATGTTCTCGTCGCTGTAAAAAGAGACGCATTAAGCTCTCGCTCGCAAAGCCCCCTTTCGTTCCAGTCCGCCTCTCATCTGCTTTCTGTACGTTTCCTTCTTCTGGATTTTCCACAGAAATGGAATCCTGCAGAATGAGGCCTTCCGTATTTGTTCTTTTTTTGGGGGGGGGCTTCTTTCACGTAGCACGACGTGTTCAAGCTGCCACTGCACCCCAGCACATAGCAGGGCGTCCCTCCTTTGCACGGCCGAGTAATACTCCGCAGCGTGGACGGACCCCGTTCTCTCTATCCGTCCGTCAGCTCAGGGACAGCGGGCTCTTCTGACTTTTTGGCTATTGTGGGTCGTGCTCACGTGCACACGTTTACGTGTGGGCGCCTGTTTTCAGTTCTTTTGGGTCTACGAGGTCTGACAGTTAGGTTTGCAAACTCCTCCTAGAAAAAGTGCTACCTACCTCGCTGCTGAATATCACCACAGTCACCTTCAAAGTCCTCCCCTTGGGAAGCTATGCACAGACGCCAGCGCCTAGTCCACCCTTCAAAGCCATTTTGGAACTCTTTTTCTGGAATGGCCATCTCAGCTGTCAATGTATTACCCTTGATGTCCTGAATGTCATCAAAATGTCTTCCTTTCACTATTTCCTTTATCTTTGGGTAAAGAAAGAAGTCACTGGGGGCCAGATCAGGTGAGTAGGGAGGGTGTTCCAATACAGTTATTTGTTTCCTGGCTAAAAACTCCCTCACAGACAGTGCCGTGTGAGCTGGTGCATTGTCGTGATGCAAGAGCCATGAACTGTTGGCGAAAAGTTCAGGTCGTGTAACTTTTTCACGCAGCCTTTTCAGCACTTCCAAATAGTAAACTTGGTGAACTGTTTGTCCAGTTGGTAAAATTCCTAATGAATAATGCCTCTGATATTAAAAAAGGTCAGAAACATCGTTGCAACAAGTTCACGGACTTACTTGTCGGAGAGCCCCCGTTTCCTCCCCAGAAGCCGTGTACGGACCCCCAGTGTGTCTGCAATACTTGGACCCTTGGGCGATGCTTGCTGGTGTCTACCTGTTTGCTGATGTCCGTGCTGGTGATGTGAAGTCTCACCGGGGGTTTGATGACCCATTTCTCTATTGGCTTACGATGCTGACCGTGTTTTCGTGTGCGTATCAGCAATGTGTACGCTTCTTACGGAGAAATGTCTGTTCCAGCCCTTTCCCCGACTTCTAATCGGGTTATTTGCCTGTTCACTGTGGAGCTGTCTCTGTCCTTTACACGTGAGGGATATGAAGCCCACCGCAGACATAGGACTTGCAAACATCTCCCACTCTGTGGCTTGTCCCCTGATAAGTGTCCTTGGAAGCTCAAAAGTTTTGGGTTTCCGTGAAACCCATACTGATCTATGATGTGTTCCTTTGACCGTTTGTGATTTTGGTGCATTGTCAAGCCCAAGGCCGTGAGGACGCACACCTGTGTTTCCTTCGATGAGTTTCATCATGTCGTTGTCACTGGCTCATCCGTTGGCCTTTCACGTTCTTAGTTGGTGGAGCATGTTTATCATGAAAGAGCGTTGGATTTCTGTCACATGCTTTTCCTGCGGCTGTTGAGATGGTCACGTGACTTTTGCCGTGTTCTATGAATCTGGTGTTTCACATTCATTGCTTTTCGTGTGTTACATCGACCTTGCATTCCTGGCATGAGTCCCCCTGCGTCTTGGTGGGTGATGGTTCCCACGTGGGGCCTCAGGCCTCTGGCAGTTTTTCACACGCTTTGGGCGACAGGAGCTCCTAACTTCTTCGTTTTGCACCCGAGCGCTTTCTTCTCGACTTTTGGAATTGCGAACAGGAGGGTAGAGGAGAGAAGACGTGAGCTGGTCCAGAAACCAGGGGAGCCTGCACCCCTGCAAGGGCTTTTGGGGTTCAAGGTCAGAGCCCGCCTTCCTCGGTGGGTGTTTCAGGAAAACTGACTTTGCAAAGAGTGAATGGAATTGAAAACCAAAAAGCTTGATTGAAGATCATAGCTCAAAAGCAGTGATGTGCATGTGTGTGCACGCGTGACTACACGTGTGTTTGCATGACCCTGCATGTGTGTTTGTGTACACACATGTGTTAATGTCTATGCACGTGTGCTCATATGTGTGCATGCATGCATGTGTGTTTGTGCGTGCATGTGTTAATGTGTATGCATGTGTGTGCACGCGTGTTCACGCGTGTGCATGCATGTGGGTGAGTGAATTCTGCAAGTTGCTGAGTACTCTCTCCCCTCCTTTGTTGCCGACATCGGCCCCCCTGCTACAGTCCCCTCAAAGCAGCCCCCAGGCAAGTGTTGAGTGGTGGCCTTGGGGATTGTCAAGGTCCACAGACACTCAACCAACGAGTGACATGAAGGTCTGTGGTGTGACCGAGACCAAGGGGCCACGTGAGGGGTGGCAGGGCGGGAGCCCACAGGGCGGACGGGTGGCTGTGTGCCCTGCTGGGGGGCCCGTGCTGGTTGAGAGTGGTGCCCACCGTGTGCCCCGTGAGGCTCAGTGAGGACGTGCTCGGCCAGCGTCAGGGATCTGGGGCTCTAGAAATTCAGGAAACGGGGCTTCAGAGAGACGAAAGAAGTGTGAACACGGTAACGGGGTGCAGAGGGCCCCTGGAGCTTGGCGGCCACAGGTGGGCCAGGCCCCCCGCTCACAGGTGCACAGCCGGCACTGGGTCCGGCCTGAGGGACTCGGAACGCGTGTGCCCGGCCGTGTTGCTGCAGGACGTGAAGGCGCCTGGGTGCCAGGACCGTACGTCTCAGGGAGGGCACGGCCCCCACAGGTCACCTATGTCTCGTGCTGCACCTTTGGGTGTCCTGTTGAGTGTGTCACGAATCTGCAGGTAGAGAGGTGGGCCGGGGCAGGCAGAGCCGGCTCAGGCTCCTGTACACGTGGCTTCCGG